AACACTCCCCCCTTCCACACTCCACCCTCCACCCCTCACTGAACACTCCCCCCTTGCACACTCCACCCTCCACCCCTCACTGAACACTCCCCCCTTCCACACTCCACCCTCCACCCCTCACTGAACACTCCCCCCTTGCACACTCCACCATCCACCCCTCACTGAACAGTCCCTGCCTTCCACGCTCTTCCATCCGTTCTCATTAACATTTTCTTCCTCCTTCACATCCATCCTGTCAGTTCTCACTACACGCTCCCTTTCTCACAGGAATCCTATCCATTCTCACTCAGCATTTCCTGCCCCCTGCCGTCCCATTCTGTCCCTTTCTGAGTGTTCCAGTGTCATTTCAGTTCCCACAGGACACTTCCTGGCTTCAGTTCTTGCTGTGCAGCCCCCTCTTCCTCACACAAGTCCTGTCGCTTCTCACCAAACACTCTCTGCCTCCTTTACTCTCATTCTGTCAGTTCTCAGGAGCATTTCCTGTTCTTTACTACACCAATCCTGTTGTGTCTCTCAATTGTCTTTCTCTCCCCTGTCAAATACTAAGGCTGACCCTCCTGGAACAATTACAGTGTTTTACCGCAGAGTCTGGTTTTTTACCAAAACCTGGTGAGAGAGAGATTCGGTGGTTTCATGACTTTTCTTTACACTGCTTTGTTCATTTATGAATGCTGGATATTCAGCCCCCCTTCTCCTACTGTCACTTTTACCACGTACATGGTGTGAACAACATTTAGGGCAAATGATGGCTCTCCTGTGGAGTTTGTTTTAATTGATCTTATTGTCTTAGTTTTCAGTATTGTGCAGAAAGGATCATATCATTTTTCTTGTAGTTATTATAATGTGGTGGATCCACGCAGTTATTTGCAGATATGGATAAGATGAAAACGTAATTTTTTTTTGCAAAAGATAATCCATCGTAAAGTTTTTATTAAATTCTACTCACTTATATCTGACAGGTGATGGCCGTTTTGCTGGAAGAGGATCGCTTGGCAGCTGAACCCAGCTGGAATCTTAGGGCTCAAGAGAAGGCCCTGTGTTTTAGTGACAGTTCATCTCAGCTGAACACTGGTCTGCCATTCCTTCAGAGTAAGGCTGTTCTCAAATATGGTTTCACGTCCAGTTACTAAGCATTCATGTTGCAATAATCATCTGTAGTGTTACATTCTATTTTAATGTGATGGGGTTTATTGTACATAAAACTGAGAAAGATTGAGTTTCTGTAGAATTCAAAAGTGAGTGGTTAGTTTTTCTCCCTTAAGTGTGTATGTTAAATTTGCGATTAAGGATTTTAATAAGATGGATAGAAGATGGATACACAGTAATGTAAACAAGTGAGATTGTTTAAATGAATGGAAACTGAGATTTTCTGTGTTTGTTTGAAATCCTATTTTCATTTCTCTTCCAGTTATTCAGTTTCTTTTGATTTCTCAAAATAGAGTAGAAGAAATAGTTGTATGAGCATGAGAGAGTGTTCAGGCCAAAGTTGTATTAATAGTTTAGATATTGTCACGAGTAAGACACTTAACATTTTTTTTTTTTTTTGAGACGGAGTTTCGCTCTTGTTACCCAGGCTGGAGTGCAATGGCGCGATCTCATCTCACCGCAACCTCCGCCTCCTGGGTTCAGGCAGTTCTCCTGCCTCAGCCTCCTGAGTAGCTGGGATTACAGGCATGTGCCACCATGCCCAGCTAATTTTTTGTAGTTTTAGTAGAGACGGGGTTTCACCATGTTGACCAGGATGGTCTTGATCTCTTGACCTCGTGATCCACCCGCCTCGGCCTCCCAAAGTGCTGGGATTACAGGCTTGAGCCACCGCGCCCGGCTAGGACACTTAACATTTAATGTAGATAGACTTAGATTTTTAAGTTGATCTGTGGGTTATGGAACATAAAACGGGAAGCAAAGCACAGGATCTCAAACAAAGTGCAGTTGTGTGTAACTGTTTACATCAGTTTCAACAAACTGCATTTGTAAGACCAAATTTACATTGCTTGAGCTAGTAACCTCCTTGTCTCTAAAGAAGTGGCTCTCAGGTACTGGATGGTGGTCATGGTCCTGGGTTTTGTGGTATACTGGCAGGAGCGGGCATGTGCGGCAGTCAGCTGGGCAGCAGGTGCGGGTGTGCTGCTGTGTAAACAGGCTTCAGGGTGTGTGTGAGGCCAGAGCCATTGGCACCACTGTTCTAGGCATTTCTTCCATCCTGCCTGCTATTTTGAGATTTAATTTTATTTACATTTCTCTATCCTTTAACATTAACAAAAATGGTATTGTTAATTAACAAGTCTTCACATTCTTTGAGAGAGTTTTGTCTTTTCCTGTTGAAAAATAATAAATCTCTCTACCTGTAGCATTCAACACATTGGCATCCACCCTCTCACACCCAGCACACAGCGAGAAGGGAACTGAATGTTTGCGGCCCCCAGGGTGCTGACGCCAAGCAGTGACAGCAGGTGTAGGAGGGCATGTGATGTGCGTGTATGAATATGCTTCCCATGTGTTCACAGAGCGGGGGGGTCTTCTTGTTTGCTTATTTCTCTGTTTTGGTAAAATGCACATTGAGAGAGTAGAAGGAACACGTGATTGGGAGAGGCATGCAGCAGAGCGTGTGGGTTGTCTCACCCTGGTAATCTAGTACTTGACTCACATTCTCTTCTGATCTGTGATCAGATGTAGAAACACTTAAGCCTTCGTAGGGTCCTCTCAGTATCCTCATCATGCTTAAAACATGCAGCAGAATGACACGGCTGGCGAGTCATTCATCTGACAAACTCACTTATTAAAACCCATGCAGCAGAGTGACACAGCCAGTGTCGTGCATGTAACTCACTATTAAAACATGCAGCAGAGTGACAGAGCCGGCGAGTCGTGCGTCTGACAC